TAATTTGCACAGTCACGCAATCAAAATAAGGAAACCCAATAATCACCAGAATAATACCCGTGAAATGGTCCCAGATTCGCTCCTCGCCTCCCTGGCTCTGCTCAGGGGGTGCTGGGAAGGAGAGGCCTGAAGGTCACGGTGTGGAGACAGAGGACTTGTAGTGTAAGCTCACTGCCACAGAGTGGATTCTCACTCCTAGGAATCCCACAGGACAGAGCAGAACTACGTGGGGGGTGGGGGTTTCAGAGGCTGTACGATTTTACAGGAGTAGAAAGCCTCAACATGCAGCCACTGGTGAGTTTGAACCACTGACCTTATGGTTAGCAACGGTTAGCAACCCAATATGCACCACTACCCCACCAAGGATTGGATGGAAAGCTTAAGAGGCTAGTACTCTAAGAGGGTCCATTCATAGATTCAGCTGTGAGAGAGTGTTTGCATTCTAAACACTTGTTTTACATAGGTTCTCTCCCACCATCAATTCTTCCTGGGCAGAGGCAGGATTAAAAATGAGAAAATAAGTGAGTTCCTCACAGAAATGGATTTTTTCCCATTTATGGTTGTCCTGGCCCCTTTGGGGCTCTATCCTGAGCCAGCAGGGGCATGGAGAAAGCAGGAATGCTCAGACGTTGACCTGTGTGGTGGAGGACAGCAATGGGTGCATGGCGCTACAAGGTGGAGATGCAACGCCCTTTGTGGACCATTGGGCCACACGCATGCGGTTCTGAGGCAGCCACTGAACACTAAATTCGTGGCTTCATTTTCCAGCCGTAAATTAAAAATAAAAATTGGCGAAAAAATAAAATGAAAGATAACAATAGAGGACACAGATTAGCAGATGATTGCTTTAAGTGCATCCATGTGCAAAGTGTTCCGAGCAATAGGAAACTATTCTTTACCTGCCTCCCTTCCTCCTCTCTTCCTTTTGCTCCTACACCCACTGTCACTGGATGCTGCGAATTCTTAAATAATGAATGTAAGAGTTTAGCCTCTTTGAAGGAGAGATTTATACATATCAGGGTAAATACATTCTGGGGACGAAATGCCTTTGAACCCTGCTCCCTTTTAAAACCTAGCACACCAGCTCGAGGGGCAAATGATCTTTTTTTTGTACGAGTTCTCTCGTCCTCACGCTCCCCGACTTCCAGTGTTTGATCCTAGCAATTAATGGGGTGCTATGTGGCCAAGTACCCAGTTAATTATTCATGGCCCCCTCATTCTTTCTGCCAAACACCCTTGTCAACCCCTCCAGTGAAAGGTCACGTGCATCCATCCTGATGAAATTGAGTGAGGCGACATCTCGTTTCACATGGGGCCTGCGGGAATGAAGTCGGCGCCTCTAAAGAGATCAATCACCCCAAGGTAGAAGAGGAGCTGATCTATAGCGCCCACCTACTTTCAAATATTACCCCACCACTACCCCCAACCTACCGAAGAAAGAGAGAAAGGAGTCCAGAGACCTGCCTGGGCGCGTAGAAGTGGGCCTTTAAATGCAGGAACACTTTAGAGGTAGTCTCAGTTAGCGCTGATTAAATTTTAAAATGGAATTTGTGCAATGATCAGTACAATTTCCCTGGAGTTTCAGAAAAACAGCTGCCCTTCGATTGCCAAGGGCAGCTCTTAAAAACATGCTCGCATTTGTAAACTCCATTAAGTGCGGTCAACAGATAAAGTAGTTCGTACGGTTCTCTGGGCTTTCAGAAAGCCTTGCCGTCGGGTTTAGTGAACAGAGCCGAGGACGTGTGGCCATCCAGGGAGAAAGAAGACTTCCCGCAGCTACGTACTTACGTTCACATCTGCCGGCTTGGATATGGGGTCACTGTTTCCTTTGTCCATCTTTCAAGGGCTCCGAGGGACCTCAAAGCCAGCTTCACCCTCTTCCATTCTCCACGGAGGAGAAGTGGCGGCAGCATTCAAGCGAGCTTTCAGAAGAATGGAGTCGGTTTACCTCCACCGGGGCCAGGTCAGAAACTGAAGCTGCCTGGTTGCTATATGGGAAACGTTAAAGGGACCTCGCCCCTAGCTTTGTGTCCCCAGTGAGGAGAGGGGTTTCTATAGCGAAACTCTGACACAAGCCAGGGCCCCTCAGAGCCCCGCGTCAAGGCCGCCCAGCCTTCCAAAATCTTTGTAAGTAAATTCTGAGTTTTGCCTGCATCTACCAGAGAAAATTTCAAAGGGAATTAGAAACCCTTAGTGCTACTTCTGGAGAGCTTCTTCCCCTCCATTTCTCTTCTGGCTCACCTTGCACGCCTGCCCCCCAAACTCCATTCCCCAGTTCTCGCCAGTGTGCGCTCTGAATCCCTCTACCCAAAGGACTTCTCCCCTGTTCCTCCCCATGCTGTTGCTAGCCACAGGCCATCCTCTTAAACGCAGGCTCTTCCCAGTGGGGCCCTGCTGGGTACATGTTGGACTGGGAACCACAGGGCCAGCAGTTTGAAACCGCCAACTGTCCCTGGGGAAAGATTGGGCTGTCTCCTCTCATAAAGAGTTACAGTCTCAGAAACCCACAGGGGCAGTTCTACCCTGTCCCATAGGGTCACTATGAGTTAGCATCTTTCCTTTTTTCTGCTTTAAATCCTACATCTCTGTCCCCCGAGCCTTCCTGTTGCCAATCTGAATTAGATCCAGGGGTGATACGAAGGGGTCACCCTGAAGGGCACTGCTAGAGTTTTCCTGAACGTCAAACAAACCCAGGGCCGTCTAGTTGATGCGGTCTGATAGCAACTCGACAGGACAGAATAGGGTTTCCCAGCCTGCCCTCTGAAGGGGAGCAGGCAGCCTCATGCTTCTCCTGCAGGGTAGCTGGTGGGTTTGAACCACTGATCTTCCATTCGGAGCCCTGTGCTGATTCCACAGTGCCGCCAGGACACCTTCATGCACAGGCAGGGAGAGAGAGAAATCTGGACACGCCCAGACGGGGACACTTCTTGTCCCTGTCACATGCTCTTGCTTCCCTGTGCATTCTGGGTGTGGCTGGCAAGCGGACCACTGGACGTTAAAAGAGAAACCCTGCTCACATGCTCCGCCCTCAGCCCAGGACACCACTACTCTGAGGAAAGGTCACGGCAGGTGGTTGAGTTGCTTCCTTCCTGAGATTTGATGACATTAGAACAAGAGACAAGGTGTATTAGTCTGGGTACTTTGGAGACACAAATCCACAGAAAGTTTTATATAAAGGTTTTAAGTGAGCATCAAGAAAACATCCCAACCCAGTGCTGCCCAAGCCCACAAGTCCAATATTCACCCATTAACCCCTATGTCCAACACCAATCCACAAAGTCCTCCTCCATCTCACAAAACAGACGCAATGATGCCGACTGCAGGAGGAAAACCAAGTCAGTGAACATGTAAACATCTCAGTGCTGGCAGGGGTCTCTACACGGCTGCTCCAGCACCCAGGGCTGCATCGGGGTAGGTCCATGTGGCTTCTCCTCAGGGATGTCTTACAGGAAGTCAGCCTTGCAAGCTGAAGCAGGGAACTGGTGAAGGCAGCTGCACCCTGGTGCGACCATCACCAAGCAAGAGACCCGAGAACTCGAAAGGTGAGGTTCACCAAGCCATTTATCCCTCCGCCCTTCAATTAACCCCACATGTGTTTATCAGCCAGGTAGGCACAATAAACTAACTCACAAGGTGACAGACATGGTGTCCTGTTTTACCAGCTTGCTTCCTGGGTTTTGTGACATTATTTTTCACACTGATAAAACGACTTAGGCTTTGTGATCAGGTCATGGAATTCGTTTTTAAGGAGGTCTTTAATTGCCTGTCCTTCCTGTAGTATTTATACACCAACTGATAGAACCTGCCACCATCTGTTGGTTTGCTGTACTGTGATGGGTTTTATGTTGCTATGGTGTTGGGTGCTGGGACACTGGTATTTCCAATACCAGCAGGGCCATCCATGCTGGACAGGTCAGCAGAGTTTCCAGTCTGAGACCGACAAGGAAGAAAGGCATGGTGGTCTACCTCTGAGATTTAGCTCATGAAGGTCCCCTGGATCCCCTACAGAGCATCGTCCGGCTCCCTTCCTTTGGGTGTGTCACCAGCAGGGATCCATCACGGAAGGAATGGAGGACCAATTCAGAGTAGCACATTACTGAATGAAGTCCCTCTAGCTACAGTCTTGTACTACTATTGAAGGACCGCATAGAGCGCTGCAAATGTGAGGGGCTCATGACCCACCAAGCAGATTGGACTAATGATGTAACCCAGCTCTTGTGTGAGACGGGAACCATTCAAATATGGTGTATGGAACCCTGGCAAGGGGATTGGTCGCTTTGGCCAAGGCATCAGGATCATCTCAAAGGCAGGAGGCGAGGTCAGCATTGGGCAGCTAATAAGGTCACCTCTGGTCCTCAGAACCCACTTCTCTTTATCTTGATAAATGGCCATGTGCAACATTGCCATCCGCTCTCCACTCACACTGAGCGCTCTGTAGTAGGTGCATAAAGCAGATGGAGCCACAAGGTTGCACAGGATGCTGGGAAGGCAGCCAGCCAGCCCACGCTGCCATGGGTACACAGTCTTCTGACCTTGGCCACCAGGTGAGAAGACTGGAGGGACAGTGGCTCTTGGCATTGCCGGGGGGCCTGGTTCTAATTCTTCACGTCATAGCCCCTGGATTCATTTTTTAAAAAGTGAAATGATAGCAAGGAATCTTTGAGACGATTTCTAGTGATCTGTGGGCCCTGGCTCATCTCCACCTTACACAGAGCAGAATGGAACTTGGCCTGGCCGCGCCAGCCTCAGGATCTTTGTGTCAACCCCTCTCATTGAAGGTGACTTTCGTTTGCTCTGACTGAGCATAAAGCCCCCTTTGATTCATTGCTCTTTCCCGATAACATCCAAGGAGCCCCTGGAACCAGACTGTTATATCATTTCCTGAACGAGTTCCCCTACTCTGAACTCACCCCTCCTGCCATACTCACCCAGGTACATAATCCCTGCTTAATAAACCTTATTCAACTAGCTCGTGCCCATCACCTCCAGGCTTGACACACAGAGGCCCTGCCCCGCTTTGTCCCATTCCAAAAGCCGAATTCAAGGTCCTCCCCAGCATGACACCAGGAAGACTGTTTTCTCTCACTATACATGGTAACTTTATTCATTGATTTATCTAACCATTTGCCCGTTTCCTTATTATACACTGACTGTGGGAAAGATGCCAAGTATTTTTGAAATGAATATCACTGCCTTCATCACGCTCTCCATAGGGAAAATCATGACATGCAAATTACTGACGAGACTCTCATACAATAAGTCCTATCACGAAGATGTGAGCAAACTGCTATAGAGCCATCAAGTTGATTTTGACTCATAGAGACCCTGTAGGACAGAGCATAATGGTACCACAGGCTTTTCCAGACTGGAAGTCTTTGGGGGGAGCAAAGCCCCTTCATCCTTCTCTCAGGAGGATGCTGCTGGGTTGGAATCACCCACTTTCCCTTAACTCACTGTCCCACCAGGACTCCTTGAGGGTCATAGGAGAGATGGATGCTCATAGCTTCGTCCCTTCTTCTTATGCCCCTGTCCATGCACATTACTATGGAACTCCTAAGTCCTTCAATACCCTCCTTGTGGGTCTCCTTTCAGCCTCTTCACCTAACCCACTGCACTTTCTTCTGCTTCCCGATTCAAACCCTTGATCTGAGGGACCAGTTCTGCAGATGGGATAATGTTATAATTCATCCAGCACCACTTGGTAGCATCTCTTGTGTGGCTTTGTTGGTTCCTCAGCTTGTCATGTCCTTGAAGGCCAAGTCCCTTCTCCTTTGCCCCCCGCCCCAATTCCTTCCAGTTAAATAGCTTTGGGCGTGATCATTTCATCAGGTACTTATTGGGTCTGGAATTTTATCTTATCTAATTTGCAAGCTAATAAGTTAGCCCAAAGCCATTTCACGGATGCTGGCAGAAGACACACAATCCATGGCTCCGCCACAGCATGAGGATCAGGGCGTGCATTTGTATTGGTTCCCTCTGCCCTCAAGCCCCGCTGGACTTGCAGCGGATTTGCATCCCAGCTGAGAGTATCTGAGCCGGGAAGAGACCTTACTTTTCTAGGCAGGAATAAGCAAAGCTATTCCTTGCCCAGGTGGAGAGATCACCTGTGTCTCAAGGTTGCTTTCTACAATCACACGTTGATGAATGGCCAAGATAGAAAACCATCAGGGCAATGCATTTTCTAGGCTGTTGTGATAGAAGACCATAAACGGATGGCTTTAAACAAAGGAACTTCATTCCTTGACAGGTCTGGAGGCCAGTGGTCTGAATTCAGGAGGTCTACAGGCCATGCTCCCTCCAAAAGTGCTATGGGAAGACCCTTCCTCATCTCTCAGGGCTTCAGGCTTGTAGCAGCAGGACTCCAGTCTCCATCCATGGAAGACAGCTCTGTCAATATGCTAGAGCTTAGTCACACTCTGGGGCAGCCACAGGCGTATTCTGGCCAACTCATCTAGGTGGGATTGGGCAAACCTACCATCCTCTCTGCCTCCTTCCTCTCTAGCCGTGGTTCTCAACCTTCCTGATGCCGCTTCCCTTTAATACAGTTCCTCATGTTGTGGTGATCCCCAACCATAAGATTATTTTCAATGCTACTTCATCACTGTAATTTTGCCACTGTTATGAATCATAATGGAAATATCTGATATGCAGGATGTATTTTCATTGTTACAAATTGAACATAATTAAAGCATAGTGATTAATCACAAAACAATATGTCATTATAGATTGTGAAATACTTATTTCTATTGACAAATCAATGAAATTTTGTCTTGAAGCATGGTGTAGCATGGGTAACAACAGTCTTCACGCCGGGTACTCCTTTGTGGGTGTATCCG